AAATAAGATTTCAACAGCAAATAAAAAGAGAGATTTCGAAAACCAAGTAGAGCGTGTTCAAGCTGTCACAAGAGTTATCAAGGGTAAGGAGGGACTAATACTAGACCCTAAGAATAAATATGTCAGGGAACTCATCAAACGATCATCTGTAAGAACACTCAAGGATGGCACAGAGGTGTTGGTATTTAGAAGTGAACAAGGTATTGATAAAAGTGGGACACAAATAATGAAACGTGGTAAGACCAAGAATCTAGTGTACTCAAAGGACTCACCTGCTCTGAGAGAATATAAGAACCTTCTAAAGAAAATAAAAGAGGTACCTACGAATCCCGACAATATAATTGGAAGTGATGAATCAATTTATGAGGATACTAAAGAAGAGCCGCAATTTGATGAAAGTAGTGAGGAATACGCTAACCGTGAGAACATTGAGTTAATAGATATAGATGCAAAATTAGGAGATCTTCCAGGGCTAACAATGCAAGAAAACAATGAACTGAGGGGTGTTCTTAACCCACCTGATGGATCAAGCATAGAAGGCAGAACAGGTCCCAATGGAGCGTTACAAGTTCAGGCTGACTACTTTAATGAAGCTATTAATGAAACCGTGAAACGAGCCGGCTCTGTGGAAGGTGTAACTGAGTACAATGCTCTTATAGAAAGAATTGATAGTCTAAAGGAAGCTAGGGATAGGACACTAGAGCAGAGAACTGTAGAGGAAGCAAGAGAGGCACAGTTGGAAGACATTTCCAGATTACGCAGATTTATAGACTGGGTAGGAAAGGAAAAAGTGCGACTTGTAGGGATAGCAGTGTCAACAGCTAGTTTAATTACAGCCTTATTAATCCATGCTAGGGGAGCCATTGTGAAGACAGCAAAAGCCACTGGTAAAGTAGCAAAAGCATTAGCAAATTTAGCAAAGAAAGCAGGACCAATTCTAGTTCCAATCCTGAACACCATTGCAACGCCGCTATCATGGGGAGCCAAAGGAATTGCTTGGTTAGCGTCACACTTATGGGTATTAGCTATAGCTGCAGCCTTAATGGTATACAACTATTACACAAAGTAAATTATGAGAAATGGCTGAAAGCGTAGAATACAAGGCAGCATGGATGGATAGGGTAAGTACCATTCTTGATGAATACAATAATGAATACTCCGAGATCTGGGAAGGAGACCTAGGAACTGAGGACCTAGATGAGTTGAACATATTATATCCCGGCTATAGGGAAATGAAACCCGAAGAAATGGACGCCGAAATAGACATTCTCCGAAGAAAGGTAACTGGACCCGGAGAATTGGATGAGAAAGAAGATATCGAAAAAGAAATTAAATACGTTAGTCATCTAAGAAAAATGAAGACCTGGAAGAATTTAGAAACAGAGGCCTATCTAAACGCGACCCATGGCACTCTCAAGGAAGAGGTAAACACATTAGTTGTACTTAGGAGAATAGCTAAGGCTGAAGTTAGAAGGAATGACTACTTAGAAAAAATAGATAAGCTGAAGGGTATTATAGAAAACCTGGGTTTCGATCCTAATGAGCCCGAGGAAGAGTTAGAAGCAGAGAAAGAAGAACGCAGGAAAGAAGAAGTCAGAAAGAAGGAGGAAGAAGACCGTAGGAAGGCTGCCGAGTTAGAAAGAAAAAGGCTTGCAGAAGAAGCTGCCGAACGTCAGAGAAAAGCTGAGGCTGAGCGCAGGGAAGCCGAGATTAAAAGACTTCAGGAAACTGTCAAGGGTGATAAGGAAAAACAGAGTATTGGAGAAAAAAGCTCGAAGAATGGGAAAAAGAAAAGTCTAAACCTAAGGAAGAACCTAAGATCTTCCCGAAGAAACCTCAGGTTGAGGAAGAACCTAAGAAACCCGAGACAGAAAAGCCTTACAGAGGCAAGGAACCCAAAAGGGCCAGCAGAGGTAAGAAGACCGAGGAGCCTTTACCTGGGGTAGACACTGAATGGCTAGAGGATACTTTCAACTTTGAGAACCTCCTGTTCCAGGTCGCGGAGGATACTATCCCGGAAGATGATCAACCTATATTTAGCGGTGATAGTACAGAAATTATGTTGAAGGATGTTAGGGAAGATCTTACGAGGTATGACAGATTCAAATCATGGGTTGAAGATAACTTCGGAATTGTGCTTGCAAGTATTATAGTGTCAGTTGCTGCTCTCCTTACAGCTATTATCATACAGACTAGAAAAATATCCTCAATGGCAGCAAACTCTACACATAGAGGTGCAGATTCTTCACCCAGGCCACTCCCTGATATAGCAAGCAAACTGATTAAATTCATATCATCAAACTTATGGGTGGTAGCTGTAGCTACAGGAATAATTTTACTATACAAATACAACTAAAC